TGTCCGAAGCGGGCCGAATACGCCGAGATCCGGAAGAAGGCCTCGTCCAACAGCCAGCCCGGTCGCAAGAAGGTTCCAGAAAACAACGCGCAGAACTTTCCTCCGTTATCACCGGTCCAATCACGGCCAATTCCAGTGTTGCCGCCGCTCCCGCTCAACCAACAGTTGGCTGCCGCTGCAGTACCCGGTCAATCCTCCGGGCCATCGACGGATCCCCCTGCTCCGGGATTGGCCGGTACAACCGGTGAAGCTACAGACGATTCTCCGCTGTCAACGGATGAGATCGTCACACTGTTGGCCCAGGCCATCATCATCAAGCGCACCTGCGCAACAAGAACACAACAGCTCCAAGCTATCATCTCCTTCGTCGCTAATTATGGACCGTGAACCCATAAAGATTGCCAACTGGAACGCTCGCTCCGTAGGGGCGAAAAACATTGAGCTTGCAGACTTCCTCCGCAAGCACGACATCGACGTGGGCCTTCTCACCGAGACCCACCTCAAGACCGGTGACAGCTTCTGGCTGCCCGACCACAGCATTGTCCGGCTTGATCGCACCAGCTCCAGGGGGGGCGGTGTCGCGGTCATCATCAAGAAAGGCATCAAGTACTGCACCCTACCCCACTACCGCACTTCCATCATCGAGGCCGTCGGCGTTGAGGTGGAAACATCGACCGGAAACGTCCGGTTCATCGTTGTCTACTGCCCCCGGCAATGTACCGTTAGCAATGGTACAGCACAGCAGTTCAAGAACGACCTTGCCATCATAACCCACACCAATGCCCGCTTTGTAATTGGAGGGGACCTGAACGCCCGGCACGAGGCCTGGCGGAACTACCAGCAGAACCAGAACGGCCGCCTGCTATTCGACCATTCCCAGCATGGTCTCTATTCCGTCTGGTTTGCGGACGAACCAACCTTCACATCACCGACGGGCAACCCATCGACGCTGGACCTGTTCTTGGCAAACACCAGATTAGCCAAGCCGGTTGCCATCAACGACCTGAGTTCGGACCACCAACCGGTGCTGACCGAGCTGGGCTACAACGTGGCCCCTGCACCGTGCCAGCGGAAGGACTACCATCGAGTCAACTGGGTCCAGTTTCGACGCGTGGTCGACCGCCACATCGACGACAACCCACCGCTCGACACAGTGGAGGACATCGACCGGGCCCTGGAGGGTCTCCATCAAGCCATATCCGTGGCTGACGAAGAGTGCGTTCGACGAGTTCCTGTGAGGGGTAAGTTTCAAGCAATTGATTCCCACACCAAACTCTTGATTCGGCTCAGAAATGTTCGTAGACGCCAGTTTCAGCGGACTGGGGATCTGCAGCGTAAATACGAAATGGTCGATCTGAATCGGCAGATCGCTTCCAGAATGGTCTCAATCCGGAACGAGAGTTTCGGGCGGCTCGTTCAGAACCTGGACGACCGTTCCAGACCATGCTGGAAGGTTGCCAAGGTGCTGAAGTCTCACCCCAAGCCCATTCCACCACTTAGAGTCAATGACGAACGGCTTATCACCAACGAAGAGAAGGCCAATGCGATTGGGGAGCACATTGCCCAGTCGCATTTGCTTGGCTCTAAAATCCCAAGTCCACTCGAGAACCAGGTTGCGCAGTGCGTCCTGACGTTAGATGCCTCCCCTTGTGCCGTCCCTCCAGAAGAACGGATTACAGAGGAACAAATTTGCTCAGCGCTGAAATACAGTAAGAACATGAAGGCTCCCGGGTTTGACGGAATATTCAACCTAGCGTTGAAAAATCTCAGCCCGAGGGTGCACTCGCTGCTAGCTGCCACCTTCAACAGATGCTTGGAGCTGCACTACTTTCCAAGCATCTGGAAGGTGGCAAAAATCATCCCGATCCGCAAACCTGGGAAAGACCCTTCACTACCGTCAAGCTACAGACCGATTAGCCTGATCTCAGCGCTGAGCAAGCTGTTCGAAAAATTGATCCTCAGCCGACTAAACAAGTTTGTGGAGGAACATGACATTCTTCTTCCGGAACAGTTCGGGTTCCGTAAGGGGCATTCCACCAATCATCAGCTAGTGCGGGTGATGAATAACATCCGGAGTAACAAAGCTGTATCCAAGTCCACAGCCATGGCCTTGTTAGACGTCGAAAAGGCGTTTGACAATGTCTGGCACGACGGACTTATATACAAGCTTTGTAACTCCAACTTTCCACCATACCTTGTGAAAATCACCCGTAACTATCTCCAGCAAAGGTCGTTCAGGGTGTCGTTGAATAGTTCCCTTTCGGGACAATTTCCGATCCCAGCAGGTGTTCCGCAAGGGAGTCTGCTGGGACCACTGCTTTACAGCATCTACACGTCGGACATCCCTCCTCTAGGAGACGGTTGCGTGTTCTTTCTGTTTGCAGATGACACCGCGATAGCCGTCAAGGGTAGGATGCCTCGTGAAATTACGAACAAGCTCCAACGATGCCTTGACACCTTTACTGATTATGCCACCACGTGGAAAATCAAAATCAACGCCTCGAAAACCCAAGCGATCATGTTCCTTCACAGACAATCATTAAAACTTAAACCGTCTCCCTCCTGTACCGTAATAATGGATGGTACAAGGGTCGAGTGGTCCACTGATGTTACTTATCTCGGGATGTTGTTCGATGAGAAGCTCCTGTTCCGCTCGCACATAGAGAAAACCCTAGTTAAGTGCTCCGCCTTGGTTAGGTGTTTGTATCCGCTCATTTGCCGCAGATCCCGCCTCTCAAGGCAAAACAAACTGGCTGTTTACAAACAGATCATAGCCCCCGCGATCTTCTATGCCGCCCCGGTGTGGGAATCGTGCGCTCAGACCCACAGGAACAAAATCCAGGTTGCACAGAATAGAGTGTTGAGGATGATCCTAGATCGTCCATTCGACACAAGAATAGTAGACCTCCATCAAGAGGCAGAAATTCCCAAAGTAGATTCCAAAATTGATGATATGACAACTAAATTTATTCAAAAATGCAATCTTTCTGAACATGCTTTAATAAGCAATTTGTACATAGTAGGTTAAGTGTATATAGTAGAGTAGGTTAGTTTTAAGCTGTCAATAGTAGTATTAAGTAGTTTCTCTTCAAATTCTAAAAACAAAACAAACCAATCCCACCAAGGTGGTCGACCGTGTACTAAGTCTAGGACTAATTCTGTGAAACAAATTTTGAATTTTGCCCATACCTAAAGATGAAGAAAGCAATTAAATCACTTAGTAAAAATGTATATGGTAATCGTCCAAGTTAAACTAAAATAAAGATCATTTAAACTAAAAAAAAATAAAAAAAAACTAAAACAGTTCCATTCCATTCCACTCAAGAAGTCAAACGGAACAGTCATAACACCTATCGATTTCTCTGACTGGGCAGCTGATGCGCATTTGCGCCGATTATTTCGCCGGAGTCAAACTGGAATGCCAGAAGACATCTTGCCAGCAAACGTTTTTTTAGCATCATTGATCTTTCCGACGGGTGCCTACAAGTAGAAGTGGCACAGAAGCTCCTGACAATCAACAACCGTCGTGGCTTGTTTCGATTCAATCGTTTGGCACCTGGGATCAAAGCAGCACATGGTGCATTCCTGCAGCTGATGACGAAGATGATAGCAGGTCTGGAGGGAGCCGATGGTTTTATTCACAGCGAATATGAAGAGAAACATTCAACGCACTCTTCAAGCGAATTGATTTTCATTTACGCCTGGATAAATGTCAATTTCACTAGAAGGAGATCAAATACCTCGGAAACATACACATCCTTCGTCCTTCATTCCTTCATGTATGCAAGATATTACAGAACAATTGATGAAACATTTTTACGTATAGCATTAGTTAGATTTGAGCACCTCTACTGTTATGGAGCGTTGTTGGATTTCATGCTTTGACATTGGACGTAGAAACTTGAAGAAGTTCTTCTCAGAGTTCAAACCAACGTTTAAGCTGGTCATTAGGGTTAGTACATAGTCGCATAGTTCACAGGCGAGGCATCTTTGGATTCATCTCTGGCGTCGTGATATATCGTAGAGGAGACAGGTTGCAACTTTCTCCCCTTCGTTGGCTAGGGAATCCCCTCACGGTCGATTGTCACATCTGCAAGAGTGCTTTGTCTTTGTCTTCTCTCATAGGTTATCGGTTTTAAAGGCTTTCTTGATGGCCGTTCATTGCTCGTCTCCGTAGCCACCTTCCTGAACATCCGATGTTCGGGCCTTAAGCTTTTCAACGAACGATCTCCGGGGCTGTTCATAATCTACGTACCGGGTCAGCACCATATTTGACGAGTTACTTATGATGACGCCGCACTCGTCTATTTTTGATCGCATCTCGATCTTGACAAAATATTTTTTTAAACTTTATTACACCATCATCCCTAGAGCAGTGGAACTAATATTTGCAGAAGTGACATTTAGAAAATAATGATTGAAAATAGTCGAACATTATTGAGTGCCGTGCGTCGATTTTGGAACCGTTTCGAATATGGTACCTCCACGGTAGACCATTTTCAAGAGATTTTAGAGAAATTTGACAGAGAAGTTTAAACCATTGCTGACTATTAAAAAATCCAGAACTGATTATTACAATATTTCTTTTTTCCTTGATTTGTTTTCCGTGCTGAGCACCAATGCTACTTAGAGAGGCAGCTCCCACACCTGGACCCTACCTATCGACTCATCAACTCATGATCCGGGGACCAACGGCTTTACTTCCCTTCCGAAGGCGGCGCCGACTAGGATTGAACCCAGGCCTGCTGGGGTAAGAGATAATCACGCTTACCACTACACCACCGGCGCCGCTGATTATTACAATAGCCAATACAGTATTGTAATAATCAGTTCTGGATCGCCTTGTTACTGCTATAAAAATGTACACAGAGTGACGTGCTGCTATTCGGTAGGTTACCCTCAGGCAAAAAGCGTTTGCAATGGGTTTGCAATCACCTTACGCTATAACACACATCGGGGTTCAAATTAACAGAGGATTAGAAAAACCCCCTCTCACTCACCTTCGAAATGATCGGCACAAAGATCGACTCGTACGACTCGTCGTCCATTCCGTCCCTCAGCGGAATATTCACGGCGTAGTACTTGCCCCGTCCGGCACCAATGTCCCGCAGGTCACCCGTTCCGGGGAAGTACTCCCCGTACTTGTGGAAGCTCACCGTCATGACCCGGTCCGTGGTGTAGAACGCTTCCTCCACGCCGTCCCCGTGGTGCACATCGATGTCGATGTACAGCACCCGCTGGTGATACTTCAACAGTTCCAAAATGCCCAGCACAATATCGTTTACGTAGCAAAATCCGGAAGCTTCGGATTTTTTCGCATGATGCAGCCCACCACCCCAGTTGATGCAAATCTCCGAAGCCTGTTTGTTGAGCTTCACGGCAGCCGCCACCGAGCCGCCGGCCGAAAGCTGACAAAACTCGTACAGACCGTCGAACACCGGGCAATCTTCACCGACGTTAACTGAAAAACCGAAGTTGACTGATTAGTCCAAGGAAGATTGAAAAAAATGCGTGCGTGCGTACATCTCTGCATCTGTTTGTTATACTCGGACATGTTATCGGGACGGATTGAGCGCAGGAATCGGATGTAGTCGTCCGAATGGAACTTGGTCATCTCATCGGCAGTGGCTTTGTGCGGTCTCTGAAAGTTGGACGAGACCAAACATTACTACTTAGTTGGTATTAATCGGGGGACGCAAATCAACTAACGTAGATCTCCATCTTCCGGTAGAGGCCATAGTTGAGCAGTAGGTTGTGTGTCATCCGTATGCGGTGCGGCTTCATCGGATGTCCCTGGCCATAGTAGTAGTTTCCGATGTCACCTAGAGGACGAACAAGGGAGCGAGAGAGAACGAAAATGTTGTCAATCAATGAAATTGCATTAGATAGCGAGCATTTTGCGCGCGCGGTTCAAGGAATGTTCAGGAAGGCAGATAGACAGAGGTGGCAAGGTAGAAAGGTAGAAAAGAGAAACGCCGATACAAAGCAGCAGCGCACAAATTCACCATTTTAACGCCACTGTCTCCTAGCGAACACTTGGCGGCTATCGCCGTCGTGTATCGAAAAGCAGACTGCGGGTGGGGTGGGATTTGTTGATGTGAATCGCACTCCTTTGAGTTAGACTTGTGCGCCGTCACATAGTCTATAAAGGGCGAGGCAAAATTTGAAGTGTTTGCTACTTTGTGCTCAAATGGTTCCAAATCCAGGGTTGTCTATTTGTTATGATAAATAAAATTCCCTGAGTTTTCCAGGTTTTTCCAGGACTTCAAGGGAAAATTTCAAGGTTATCAATGAAACCTTTATTTAAATTAGGTTAAAAAATATTTCTGATAGTTTTGAATCATGAAAGCTTCTCATGGTCCAGAATCTTGGACAACAAATCAAGAACACTGGCAACTCTTCCATTTTCTCATACGAACGCTATGAGACAGGTACAATCGCGTCATCTGCCGCTCAAAGGTAAATGCTTCGAACGATGAGCCCTGAATGTCAAAAAAAAAACACCCTAATCTTGATGATTTGATTTTTCTAAATTCAGAATCAAGAGAACTTTTCTAAACATGAGATATCAAATTTAATAAAAATTCTCATATTTCATATATGTTTTACCTTATCTTCTTTTCTGTGATTTCGAATTCATTTTTTTATTATTCATCTGTGTTTGAATCATTTTGATACTTTTGACGTTAGTCACAGGATGTCTTAAAATCAGTTTCCGGTATTCCATTACAATTTGCTCCATAAAACTCCATCTCCAGAAGGCTCTTTGAATCACTGTTCAGTTCCCTTAAAATTCTTAAATTACTTCACTAGGAATTCCTATAGAATTCTTCTGAAATAAACTCTCCTCAGTACTCACTAAGTATCTCCTGAAATTGCTGTGGAATTATCTTCGGAATTACCTCTAAATTGCACTCAAAATAATCAAAGAGCAATCCCATAAATTTCTTGAAAGGTCCCCAGACTTCCCTATGAACTGTTCTTTGATTTCTCTTAAAATGATTTCAATAATAGCATTGAAACTTTCCTAAGTATTGCATCAAAACATTGTTATTTCCCTGAAAATTCCTTCGGAATACCATTGGAATCATCCTCAAAATGTTCATTGAATTCTATCCTAAATTCCCTTTGGAATCTCCTTCTTCTCTACTCACAAGTATCTTGGAGTTCTCTTTACCAATCACTTAGCCAGAACTCTCTTGGAATTCTCTTTGAGATTACCTTAGAATCATTATCAGAATTCTGTTGGAAATTTCCTTTGCATTCCTACTAAGGATTTCCTTGGACTAATAATCAGAACTACCATGGAATTCTCCTTACGCTTCAGCTTGCTTTTCATGTGAAATTCAACAGAACTAACTTGAAAGGAATCCTCAGATTTCACTTGAAGTTTTCCTAAAAGTTCTTCCCCTGGGATTTACCTCTGAATTTCCATGAAATCATCCCAAGAGTTCGTTGGAGATTCTCGTCAAATTAATTAATAAAATTAAAAGATGAGAAACTTTTGCAAAGCCTTTATATTGTTTAAATCTGGGTTCTTGGAAAACATTCGATGACGTTTAAAATGTGTAGACATTATTGATAGTTCAGAACCCTGGAAACCAATCCTAGTTGTTGTTGTTAAATGTTCCAAATGTTGTTTGTTACTGTAGATTAATCCACTTCAGAATTATTATGTTCAAAGAGGAAAAGTTTATAACGAGGGAGATAAAGTTGGTTGTATTTTAAAATGTTTGGCAGGTTCTTTGGCGTACACCCTGAAATCTTGTCTTGAACATTCTCATTATTTTATGAAAACCGACTTGAATGAAACAGAGTACTTTTCATAATTGGGCTAACATAAATTTGAAATACACTCTGGCAGTCTCTTGAAAATTTTAGTCCAGAAATATTATCTACGAATGTTTGATTCTTCCAAGAATTCACTGAAGCTTCCTTCAATCAAGTCGTTTTTAATTTTCTTTAGGATTTCCAAGCATTTCACCTTAGAATTTATTGAAATTTTTCTTAGAATTATCATGGAGTTTTTCTCTAAATTCTTCTGAAAATCAACTTGAAGTTCTGCTTAGAAATTCTTCTCGAGATGCCCTTGGAATTACCCTCGGAATTCCCTTAACAGTTTTCTCAGAATTCTGTTGGAATTGTACCTTGGTATTTTTCGGGCATCCAGGAATCCTCTTCACAATCGTTTTGGAAATTTCAACATACCTACTTAAAGATTCTACTCTGAACTCACACAATTGGTACAGATTTCTAGTCAGAACTCCCTTGGAAATTATCTGTGAAATGCCTTGGTGTTTCCCCTAAAATCTCATTAAAATTCCAATGCTACAAGAACGAATTCGAAAAAGCTATGGACGACTTATTTGAATCACCTCGCATTGAATCGTAATTTTGTTTTGCCGGTTTACGTGTCTAGCTTTTGGAAAAACATGACCGTGTAGCTAGATAATGGTTTTAGTTGAAATGTCATCTACATTTTTCCAATAAAAAAACAACTAAGTAGAATTAAACAAATCCATTACACATCATTAATCTAATAACCAAACTAAAACAAAATTAAGTAAAAATCTAATTCACAAATCCGAAATCTAGCACCACTGCCATCATAGGTGGCAGCAGATCCGCCGCCCGCCCATCAATTTGGCTCTTCTCACAAACTATGGCTTTCAGGCACCCGTACTTTTTGCGTCTCTCGTCTTCTCATCCGGCAATTTTTCCCACACACACCACTGACTGACTGCCTCACACTCCCTTTCTATAGCAAACATCGTGTTGATTGTACGGTCGCCATCTTAAAAGTCTTGGCTAGGGACAGTGGTCGTAAAATTTTAAAATGATTTTACAGAGCTAGAGGTTTTATTTTTCGGTGAATTTCGATCGCAAACTACCCTACATCAACGTCCACAATTGTGAGAAATGAAGTTTTTCAAAAATTCTAATTATAGGAGCGAAAAACTCGAAACCAAAAAACCCTGGCATTCGAATGGTCAAGTTCCCGTTGTTCGGAATACTCACTGTCGTAGTAGTAACATACGCGCTTCTTGCTATGTGACTGCATTTTTTTTTCTTAACTAGCAGAAAAACTTATCCTGCTAGAACTGAACACCGGTAAACACGGAACACACACAAGACGGCAGCCAAAAAAAATGCACTATTTTTGTTTATGCCTCCTCCGTGCTGCCCACTACGACGCGATACGACGGCAATCGAAATTACTTCGGTCGCAAATGCGTTTATTCACTCTTCACTGTACCGACTTCGACTGCGACGCTCACTCTAGTTGAACAAAGTGCTCTTGCCTTTGCTTGCGAACTCACTGACGATTTATGTTGATTTGATTTGACTTGACGATGACGATCGCGAGTTCGAATGAGTCGAATTTATGCTCGCCACAAGCGAAACAAGGATGTGTGAGCATGTACACATGAACAATGTTGGTGTGTTGGTGAGTGCTCTGGCTGAGTAAACGTCTGAAGTATTTTGAAAACTCAGACGTATGCCCCATCGGCCAGGAAGGAGGAGCTTAATACACTCAGAAACAAATTTATATTACACTCAAATAACATTCAATTCGAAATAGTATAAAAGCTACGCTAAATCGCAACTCTCCTGACCGACGCATACACAGAAAAAAAAAGTTGTTGAATATTACATCCAAACTGCTGCAACCAGGTCAATCCCTCGGTAATTACGGAGTTCGGTTCTCTTGGGCAGCGCTTGGTTTTTACTTCAAATCCTGCTTTAAATTTTGATTAAGGATACGTTGCTTCGAATTTTCATAAAAATAAAACCAGTTTTGTCAAAGAAATGTATGAAATATATTTATTTAATTTGTCTTGGCAAATAAAAACTTCCGTAACGCGAGTTACAGCGTGGAAAAGTACAGTCAAAAAAATCTCTGTCATTCTTATTCAAATGGTTTTTAAAATGCGTTTGCAAGCCAGAGAAATAACCTTGTATATTTTCACGGCATGATAAACAAACTATAGCACAAGATGCCTACAAATAAAATCATACCGTTACAAATGATTTCAATCAAACGTGCATCCTTCTGTTACAGCTGCTCCAGGACTTTTTCCATTTTTACTAAAGTTTTGCACATGTCCGACGAGCACATGCGATAAAAAAAATGGCTGCCTAATATTAGATTCAGCTTAGAGAACCAAGTTTTCGGTTAAAATTTCCGTCACGAAGTTGAGCGCAAGTGGAACGTTTGACGTTTAAGCGTTTGACGTTTAACACGCTTTAGCGAATATTCGGTTCAGTTTACCGAGTTTCTCGGTTTTCACGTAGCGAATTCGTAAATGTCGATACATTACCGTATATACTTTTCGGATTTTTAAGAGATTAACTAGCCTATGGCTAAAAATCTCTTAAGGGGTTACGCCTACCTGCAAGACCGAAAAAAAGCGAAAGTTTGGATTTTTTTTTTCTCGAAAACGACGCAACATATTGAAAATCGGTTTTCTGCAGTTTATTGAGCACACATTAAATGGTACATTTATCAGTCGATGCTGTAAAAACGAGGTCCTGGTGCCCCGCACGGCTGCTCCCTGTAGACGATGTTCTAAAAAACGCTTTTTGCGGTGCCAACTGCGGTTTGTGATGTAATCATCTGAAATAAAAAAAAAAAACCATGCCAAATCGTTAAGCATGTGTTAAACTAGTCCTTGATCGTTCGGTTTTTTTTTTAATTTTTTTGACAAAATGGTGGTCTTGCAAAGTTGAAGTGCCGATTTTTGATCCTTAAAATTTGTCTTTGATCGGCTGTAAAAAATCGAAATTAAATGATAGACGAAATCCGAACGATCGTGGACTGCACAAAATAGTACTGAACAGAAATCAAAACGAATCGGACGAATGTATACATTTCGAGAAATTTTTGGCACCGGTTTTGAAAATATGATTCCGAGATAATCGCGTTTAAAGTTTCAATTTGGGTTTAGTCCACTATAAGTAAATATTTTGATACGTCGCATAACTTTCACAATTTTCATCGGATCAACTTGATCTTTTGAGGAAATATTCTTGACTTTATATACTTTCGATTAGGACAATAAAAAAAAATCGATTTTTTGAAAGTTTGCAGGTAGGCGTAACCCTAGGGGAGTCTCACTTTTAGAATGCCCATTGAATATGCATTTAATTTAAATCAAATGCATTTAATTTACATCGTTTGCATCAACCATTCAGTGGGATGTGAACATAAAAACAAAGTATGCACTTTTCCGGTGACACCTATACATACATACATGCATCAAGGCGAAGATAAATAAACACAACAGGAAAAGATAACTCGGAGTAGAGAATTCACGAAAATCTCCCTGCAACCTTCTCCGGCAGCAAATAAAATCTCCAACGAAATCGTGCAGAAGCTCCCTCCGGAATTTCCACTGCTAACATCAAAATTACGTGAAACCTGCTCCGCCGAGAACGCGAGACAACTTCGTCGAAATTCCGTAGAACATGGTAGACCCTCCATTGACAGCATCGGAAATCTCCACCGGAATCATGCGGAAGCTCCTCCATCTAAAAAACCCGAGAAAATACCGTACAGATTTCCTGAAACTTCCATTGGCAGCACCGAAAATCACCACCGTGAATGCTAGAAAACTCCGACGAATCTGGCAGAATCAGAAACCTCTACCAAAATTGTGCAGAACCTCCTCCACTGAGAACGCGTGAGAACTCCACCGAAATCGATTGGGACCTCATCCACCAAGATCGCAAGAAAACGCCATTGAAATTTCGCATTTCTTAATTGCCATACTTTATGTAATTGTAATTTATTTATTTGTCAACATCAACAGACTCAATGTAGCCCCAATGTATGTATGTAGTCAAACGTAATCCTGGTGGAACCATTAATCAACAAGACATAGTTCCTAGAACCTTCGTTGGCAGTCTTAGAAATCATGCAGAACCTCCTCCACCCAGAAGGCAAGAAAAATCCGTTTGAACTTCCAGAAACTCCCGCTGGCAGCTTCCAAAATCACTGAAATCACACAGAACCTCGTCCATCGATAACGTAAGAAAACGCTGTCGATATTCCCTGGAACTTTCGTCTACAGCATCCAATCTCTTCACTGGTATCGTGCAAAACCTCTTTCACCGATAATACGTGGAAACTTCGTCGTAAGTCTCTGGGAACCTCCGTTGGCAGCATCTACATTTTCGAGGGGAGTTTCGAAGGAGTTTTCATGTGTTCACGACGAAAAGGATTCTGAAAAGGGTTATTTTCCGAGGGGGGCGACACATCTAAATCTCAAGTTTAGATGCTCAACAAATCTCACACTAGCGAATCAATCTTCGAACAATCTTCTTTCATTTGTCGCATCTACTTGCATCGCTCATCAAGTTTTTGCAGGAAATCTTCAGAATCGTCTTCAATCTTCTTTCTATCTACTCAGCGTGCGCGCAGCTAACCACAGCAAAACACAATTTTTCCTGCATCGTAGATAAAGTCGTCCCCCTCGTTATTTTCCACCTTCTCGGAGGAGCTTCTGGACTAATTTTCTCAAGCGTGGAGTGTGGATTTGAGCGAAACCGAAGCGAACAACAAAACAGGACAAAACCTTCATGTATACATGCATGTATTGGTGGGAGGTGTCACTTAAAGCTACACACAGCAAAAAATGCACTGAGAAAATGCATTTAATTTGTTTTGTTATAATAAATGCACCTCAAGTGATCTGCCCCTAGGCGTAACCCCTTAAATAAAGATAAAAAAAACGTACTTTTCGGTTCAGTCTTCAATTATATCTGTCAAATTTATACTATTTTACTGAAATTAGGGTCTGATTCGATAAAAACGCCTAAAAAATATTTTTAAACCATTTATTCGGTTTCTCGTTGGTAACCGAAGAGGTTCGGTAGAAAATTAAACCGAGTTCGGTATTATTTTCTAAGTGTGAATGTATTGTTATTGTTGTATGGAGTAAATAATGTTTTCTAATTTAATATTTTTGCTTCCTCGCCATTCAAATTTTAATAGATTTTGAAAAGAAAAATGACGTTATTACCAACAATCAATACGAAACTAACGGTTTTAAATTGGCTCACCAATTTAGTAGCCTATTGGTCCCAAGCAAACGATTAACGTACCCTATTCTAGTCGAAATTCTATTACTACACTATGTTTGTTTTGATTCGCTATGAAAGTTTGACAGATAACATCAGGGGTGTGTGGATTCATGCAGAACATGCAGGGGTGTGTGAAATAGCTTGGGACTGCTTGGGACCGTTGTTCTGGTACTGAGTGAGCCAAAAATAATAATGATTTTCTTCGGGACCCAGTGGTCTTAGAGTTACCTCTATGTTATTACGTTGAAAACACAGGTTTATAAACTGAAAACATTTGTTTTTTGCAATAATAATTGGCGTCTTGCAGTGAAACTTTTCCAAGCTTTCCCCAACTACATTTCGAAGTGAGAACTACTAGAAGGAGGATAGTTTCAAAATTTTCCAAGTAAAACCGACGCTTTTTGGGGCAAATCGGTCCATAAAGAAAAACTAATAATTTCCCGTGAAAACTTTTGCTTGAATCGTGTAAGAAAACGTGTTTGAAAACTATTTGTTATTATTTCGGTATGGATCGGAGATGTTTTCATGGCAAATTATGCATAACAAGTTTGCACCCACAGGGACAGGTTACCTCCAGCGCAGCTGCATTTTTCAGAAACTGATAAATATGTGTGATTTTCACTAATATGAAAGTGGAAATTAAGTGAATTTACTTAGGAAAGGTTGTATCATGCTGGTGGTAATAGAGAATTGGTTGTATAGGACGCCAATATTCAATAAATGTTCATTTTGGCCTTTTTTAAGCAAACATATTGATACTCACAATTTTCGACGGAAAACGCACCGGAACTTGATTTACTCAACACGCACCATACTATTAAAATGGTGCTAGATGGTCTTCAAAGTGATAACAAGATGACAAATCATCTTTATTTTGAGTAATTGAGCAATTTACTTCTGTTTACCATCATATTTACGATGCGGCATTGATGGAGCCGTGAAATGAAATGAATATATCTTATGAAAGTTCATCTGGAAAAGTCAAAGATGCACATCAGTCTGATCGTAAAAACGTTTTCTTCTTCAATTCGAATGTTATATTGGAAGGATTTCACGCAGGCTTGATGAAAATTATGATTCAATGCTAATTTTCACGAATTTTATATGCAGTCTGTCAACATTATCATCATCATGCAGTGGCGACATCTGCGTTGAGCTTTTGCGGCAATCTTCCAATACTACATTTAATTTCCGTTTCGAGTCTATACGCCCTTCTGACTTGTTTCCTCAGATTTTCGTCACTTTTGTCGATTGGGCACGTACACTCTAAGCTACGATTACCTAAAATTATCGGTATTGTATACCGATAAAAATCGTTACATTTTACTTTAAATAGGCTATTTTTTACCATAAATTAGGATATTTTAACGTTAATTATTGGTAATCCATGATTACCGATAATTTTGGTATGTGCACTTTCTTCGATTATCGGTAATTTTTTACCGATGTCTAGGTATTCTTAACCGATTTTTAGGTATGTGCATCTTAGCGTGTAGCGCAAGGATCTCTAAAAATCCGAAAGGTAAGCGTTTTTGTGTGGAAACTCGCTTGTTTTGTTTTCGGTTTGAATGTGTGAGTTCCCCCAACATATAAATAAACAAAGCGACGTTGCCGCGTTCTACGTGTTATTATGCTACGCGAGATTCGTTCGTCAACATAGCACCAACACAATCACTTTTTTGTTTTCTCCGCTGCTCGCTCTCACCATCAGCATCGTCTCGTGAGCATAACAAGCCGCATAGAAGTTACAATGCAACAACAGCACCAACACCGACTTGCCGTTGTTCTCCCGCTGTTGGCCGTGTGTCGTTCGTTGGGGCCTTTGATTTGCGGATGGCGGCGGATCTTCCTTCAGTCGAGAAAAGAGTGTGTTTCAGTGAACATCGGTGTGACCTCGCGCGGTTGGATGCGCCTTTTTTACAATACAGTGTGTTTTGCTGCTCCCCACATCTCTCTGCTGCTGGTGTGCGATAATAGTCATGGATGCGGCGGACGGGGATCACCCGCTTTGTGAACGGTGAATAGAAAAGGTGAAAAAACTGGTTCTTTTATTTTTAATAGCACACGGGACGGAAGAAAAACGGTGCTGGCTCTGAAACTTGGATTGCAGTGTCGGAAGAAGGAAAGAAGAAAGGCTCGGAGGGCTCAGAAGACTGGTGTTTTTTTTTTTGGTTTGTCAAATTAGTGGACCAGTGGAAGAGTCATCTTTTCGGCAGACGAGCCCCCCTTTTGGTGTGTAACAGCGGCTCTTCTATTTTGCTCCCTTTTGGTGGCACGCAGAAACAGGCCACGACGTCCGTTTGCTTTTTCTTGAATTTGGAAGTGTTTATGTCCAGAATAGGATCAATTTGTGTGAAGATAAGCTATTATTGTGCAAAACATTTTGCCAGGAAAGTCGTCAACTTTAGTGAAGAACGAGTATCCTTCCGTGAGTGAGTGAGTGAGTGTATTGGTGAAGGGTGTATTGTGTGAGTGGTGTGTGGTGAATATTCGACGAGGGAGGGTACGGTGAAAACAATATTCCTGGGGTGGAAAACGGAAAGGTTTCGATTTTCCTGCCTTTTCCTATCAACGATCCTGTTATAGTGAAGCAAGCCAGGGGGAAGAAGCGAAGGTTGAAAATTCTGGGGAGCAACCCCTGTACACAGTGTATCCTTTCTTCACCACTCTCACACACCCTACTTCCTTTTTTTTTTGGCATATAGCGCTTTTCCACCCTCGTCAAGAAGTGAAAAATTGATTGGGAATTCGTCGTCGTGTCAACTTGAAAGTAAAATCGGTTTCCTGTTTTTCATTTTTGAGGAATAAATTAAAATAAATGTTAAATTAACATACAGTGATATACTATAAGGAAACATAAAAATAAATATTGTAGAAATTAAGTGAAAAGTGCATTGATAAAAAGTCAATCAAAATAGTGTGCAGAAGGCAACACAAGAAGAAGAAGAAAAAAAGTCTCCTGCGAATGAAGATTGACGAGGAAAATTGTGGGATTAATTAGGATTATTCACCGACTTTTCGCTGGTTGGTTTGTTGTATAGCTGCTGCAGTGATTCAGTGTATGTGTGGTGCGTGTGCCAGAAAAGAGGATACAATAGCAGCTCAGCGGGCAGGATTCGTGTTCTAGTGGAAAGCACACAAACACCAATGTAGGTGAGCGCGATTGCGGTGGGACGACGAATTGTAGCGAGTAGCGGAAAAACAGCCTACTTGGATTATGTATACATCAACAACAACAACAACAATAGCAGCAGAACATCAATAGCAGCACAGCGAAAATTGCAGCCGATTCAAAATAGGAACAGGAATAATAAAGGTTTGTTGAACTCTTTTGGGCTGTGTTGTTCGGACTTTTCGGATATTTTTTTTGTCGTGACTGTCTGTCTGTCGTCCGAAGGGATGAGTATAGCTGAATTGGCACAGTTTGAAGGGATGATGGAGAAATTGAAGTTCGGTATGAAGACAGATGGCTATAATCTATTTTTTTTTTTGGTGAATAATAAGTCGATAACTTCTATGTACTGATTCATACTTATTACATATACTTCAGAATAAGATTGAAGTTTCCGTGAATATGTGGGTATGTGTTGAAGTGCTATGGGTAGGTCGATATCATATGTTAGTACAATAGCGTACAAATTCTAGATGTAATACGGATACAACTAGAGACAGAGTGGCAACTGAACCGGGAAATAAACGGGAATTCGATTTGAACCTTAAAACATATGAAGAGCTTTGAGTGGATTGGTTTATTTCCTTTAAATTCTGTTATAATTGCTTATCTTTTGACAGATACGCGTATTTCGTCTACTATTTGCAGACTTCATGAGTGCCAAGTACTCAACACCACTTGGGTACTTGGCACTGATGAAGTCTGCAAGTAGTAGACGAAATACGCGTATCTGTCAAAAGATAAGCAATTATAACGGAATTCAAAAGAAATAAACCAACCCACTCAAAGCTCTTCATATAGGGATTCCGTTAAGAGGTTCGATAAATTTAAAGGACTTAAAACATATTTTTAAGGCCATTATTATTCGAATTTTCTACTAAGTCCAATGTTTTGAATATTTTTTGCGGAACATTTGAAAATGGCCTAAGTCCAAAATGTAAACAAACCAGAAAATGAATTTAAATTTTTTTCGTCACTATTCAATTCATCAGGGCTGATAGCGGGTCACTTTTTAGTGACTTTGTCACTTTTTTGAAGATGGTCACTAAAAAGTCCCTATTTTCGACAAAAAGTCACTTTTTTCGCTATTCCCGCTTGAATTGCAATGTAAAATTCGTTATAAAAATAAAGATTGTTACAGTGCTTCAGTATGCAAAGTTCTTAGTTGGAAGTTCATTAAACTATCGAATGAAAAAGTTTGCAGAAGAAAGCAAGACGCTACATCATCAAAGCACACTTTTATTTGCGATTTCGCAAATAAAAGTGGAGTCCAGTTTCAACTGCAAAATTAAATAATAAGGGTGACCGGGAAATCGGGATACCTCGTGAACTTCGGAGCTAAATTGAAAAAATGTGCTTCATCCTCTCTTTAAAAAATCTCAAGAATAGAGCTCCGAGTTAATTGTGTGAGATCAGTGTTTTTTTTTTAAAGTATACCCTGTGAAAAATTTCTTGGGAACAACTTGGACTATGAACTACTTGGAAAGCATTTCCAGATAATTTTAAAGAGAACTCCATGTGAATTTTCAGTAGAACTTAAAGGGGAACTCCAAAACAATTTAGATAAAAATTTATGAGAACTCGGAGGTGAACAGCATGGGTATTTCTAAGGAGGTGAATTCTTTAAAAAAGTTTATAATTCAAAGAGAATCTAAGGACGAATTTCATGATTTGTCTAGTGTTCTGCAGAGAATTCCTTTCTGCACTGTTATAAAGAAAATTCAAGGCACTCCCAGAGATAAACTCGAATTTATTTTTTAGAAGAATTCTGTTAAGAACTCCATAAGGGAAAATTCTTTTGAAAGAAATACTTGAACTTAAATATAATCCTGTTAAGCTCTGTAAAGCTTCTCTGAAACTTTAAAAACGGCAAGTTGAAATTTAAATTGTTACCCATAACTGGGCAGTCTCAAATTGTCATGTCAAATATTTATCTCGTTACAATAAATATAAGAACCTTATTGTAACTAAAATCAAACACTTCAACAATAAGTAGCTTTTGGTTTTATATATAGTTAATCTACTGATTGGTTTAAGTTAAATTTGAATCCACATCTCTAAAATTTCACCAAGTTCATGTACCTGATGACGCCGGTTGTGTAGTGGTAAGCGTGCTTACCTCTCACCCCAGCAGGCCTGGGTTCAATCCCAGTCGGCGCCGCCGGGATGTTCTGAGGCATAACAAAGGGAAGTAAAGCCGTTGGTCCCCGTTTCATGAGTTGATGGGTCGATAGGTAGGGTCCAAGTGTGGGAGCTGCCTCCCTGGCGTCGGTAGCATTGGTGCTAAGCACGGAAAACAAGATTGACGAAATACAAATCAAGGAGAAAAAAATGTACCTGATGAGTTTAAATTTTTATTCTTGTCAATGTCCACAAAATTTAACCCTTGGATCATTTTCGTCAATGTCCTAGAACTCTAGTTTTGTAGGTAATTCTGAGTAGAATTCCAATGCAGCTTTTGACGTTAATTCTTAAGGAATTATGAGAAAATTTAAACGAGAAGGAGGATTACACCATGATTATTCTGAGGAGAACTTCAAGATAATACAAGAGATAAATCTAAGGACATTGTGAGGATAATTTAAAGAAGATTCTGGGACCAAAGGAATCCAGAGCATATTTCCATGTGAGTTTTCGGAGAATTCATAGAGGGTATATTATGGAGGATTACAATTTAATATGAGTTTAACTCCTATCGAACCTCAAATGAATTCGGTTGAAAATTCCAAGAGGGTTCTGACAAATTTTATGGAGAAATCTAAGAAGAACTGCAAGTTATTTTTTAGGTGAGAATGTCATAGTAGTGAGTTGAATTCCAAGGAAAGGGGCAATATTCAACGGTAATTCCAAAATATATTCAATGAGAATTTTTCCAACGGATATCGTTAGAAAATTATGAGCTTAATTTCAAGTGAATTTCAAGGAGTATTCTAAAGATATTCCGGTGTTTTTCTCTTCAGATAATTCAAAGAAGATTTTTTTTATAGTCACTTTAACACTCTTGGGTCATTGGTGACTTGTCCGGGGGTGAGATTTGAACTCGTGACTTTGGCGTCGCCCGGGGTCAAAGAAGAATCCCAGCAGCATTTCGAAGAATTTTTGGGATTTCCTAGCAGAACTAAAAAAAAAATCCAAAGATATTTCCATCGGAATCTCAGGATAATATTAAGTAAATTCCAAGGTGACCTCCAAGTTAGGAGTTCCGGCAGTGCCTAGCAAGAATTAATTATAATGTAATGAGCATTGCAAAGTGAATTAAAATTGTTTTCTAAAGATGTTGTAATATTTTTTAAAATCATATTTTTCCTTTACACTATCTAGGATAATACCTATCAGAATTTCTATCTCAATTTAAAATATTTCCATTATACATTTGGATTGTATTTTTGAAAAATGCGTGAAATTAAGATCATAGGTTAATGAAACTATAGTACTTTATGGTAGAAACATTCGAAAAAAACCTGGAATTTTATTAAGAAAAATGAGTAGACAATAAGCTATAATAATTATCAACTATATACATTTTTTTTGGGAATCTGGATTTCTTTTCCATCGTTTTTTTTTAATTACTCACTATATAGGGGAAATGGCTCTAATGTTGGCCTATGGATCTAAGATTGGGCCCATCGCTAAAAATCTGCTATTTATCAATTTTATCTAGATGAACGCGTCATTGGGACAGTACTAATGGATAGTTTTGGACGCCATTGAAAATTTATTCGATTGCTGAATTTGTGTATGGGCCCAAATTAGGAGCTAGTACTGTATTTTGTACGTTTAAGCTCTATGACCCTTTCCTTCCCACGGTAGCACAGGGGATCTATAGGTTTTTGGTCCGTCTTACGATTATCATTACAGCTTAAATTAGTCAGCATTGATTTAAGTTTCTCTTGTGCTCAATATTCCCCTTTATATATTTATCTCACAAATTTCTTGAAAATTTATAAAAAAAATCATTTCGGAACTTATAAATTGAGCTTGATAACTTCAAAAGTGTCTTAGTCCTATGATTTGTAAATTTCCCGCTTCTTGCAGCTGTTTTTGTATAATTATTTTCCCAATATCTTGTTGTTAGACCATACCTCAATCTTTTATTTAAAAATGCAATTGACAACAGAGTTTAAAGATTAAAAAGAATATATCTGAAATTTATTAAAACTTAATCCAAAATATATCTAATTTCCACAAAGTACAAGCTTGAAAATAATCGAAGAATATTAACAAATCTCCAAAGACAAGACTAAGAGATCTTAAAACAAATGGTTCATTCAGGTACTTTCTTATTTCAAAAATTTTAAGATTGTTTGTCAGTCTGTCAATTGTTAAATGATCCAAAATCTTTTCAGGGATCTTGTGAATTGAAGTTCAAGGATTTTATGAATTCTAGGGATCTTTCATAAACAATTCCGATCACTCGATATTTTACTTATCATGTGTTATTCTATTTTTTACCTGTTTAAAATAGTTTATTAGCTTAAAGGTTCAACACGAAACAATGCGGACGCATTTCTTAATCAAGCTAAGTGTGTATAAAATCACAGCAGGCATTGGTTGTCAGGATAAGTTAATTTGTTTACATCATGGCTTCACCGGAACAAGCACGTCGCGATTCGATCCTGCGCGCTCAAAACGAAAATCCCGGTCCATCCGCTCCTGGCAGTTTTCGATCAAATTCCTGGGCAGGAGTTTCATACCTCGGTTGACCGGAAGAGTGACCCGGAAGAATGTAAAATCAAAAAGAAATTGAAATTTCCCAGAAAGTTCCTTGCCTGGCAAGCAATCTGCAGTTGTGGGATTAAAAGCGAAACTGGGACCATGAACCAGCAAATTTACCACGAGGAGTGCCTACGGAAAAGAATACTGCCTTTTCTGGAGCAGCATGAGATGGACTGTATATTCTGGCCGGACTTGGCAAGCTGCCACAACTCAAATTCCACCAAACAGTGGTACAGCGAAAATGGCGTCACAATGGTTCCCAAGGAGATGAATCCGGCCAATACTCTCCGGAACTAAGGCCAATTGAGGAATACTGGTCAATTGGGTTTTTTTAATTTTGAAAAAATATATCGGTTTTTATGTATCAGCTTCGTTTTCTGAGCACAGCGATATTTTTTTTTCGAACCCACACACTTTCATCTCGATTT